CCTAGGTTGTCTTCCAGGGTTTGTATAGTTTGGTGTTTTACATTTAAGTCTTTAATCCATCTTGAATTGATTTTTGTATATGGTGTAAGGAAGGGGTCCAGTTTCAATCTTCTGCATAGGGCTAGCCAGTTATTCCAGTACCATTTATTGAATAGGGAGCCCTTTCCCTATTGCCTGTTTTTGTCAGCTTTGTCAAAGATCAGATGGTTGTAGTTGTGTGGCCTTATTTCTGGGCTCTCTATTCTGTTCCATTGATTTGTGTGTCTGTTTTTATACCAATACCATGCTGTTTTGGTTATTGTAGTCCTGTAGCATAGTTTGGAGTTGGATAATATGATGCCTCCAGCTTTGTTCTTTTTGCTTAGGATTACCTTGGTTATTTTTCAGGCTCTTTTTTGGTTCCATATGAGTGTGTGTGTGTGTGTGTGTGTGTGTGTGTTTGAGTGGAGTACAGTGGAATAATATTGGTTCACTGTAACCTCTGCCACCCAAGTTCAAGTGAATCTCGTGCCTCAGCCACCTCAGTAGCCAAGACTACAGATGTGTGCCCACCATGCCCTGCTAATTTTTGTATTTTTAATAGAGAATTTTTGTATTTTTAATAGAGACAGGGTTTTGCCATGTTGGTCAGGCTGGTCTCAAATTCCTGGCCTCAAGTGATCCGCCTGCCTCAGTCTCCCAAATTTCTGGGATTATAGGCATGAGCTGCTATGCCTGGCCTCATATGAATTTGTAAATAGTTTTTTCTAGTTGTGTGAAGAATGTTATTGGTAGTTTGATAGGAATAGTATTGAATCTGTGAATTGCTTTGGGCAGTATGGCCATTTTAATCTTCCTATCCATGAGTATGGAATGTTTTTCCATTTGTTTGTGTTATCTTTAATTTCTTTGAGCAGTGTTTTGTAATTCTCATTGTAGAGATCTTTCACCTCCCTGGTTAACTGTATTCCTAGGTATTTTATTCTTTTTGTGGCAATTGTGAATGAGATTGCATTCCTGATTTGGCCCTCAGCTTGGTTGTTGGTGGATAAGAATGCTAGTGATTTTTGTACATTGATTTTGTTTCCTGAAATCTTGCTGAAGTTGTTTATCAGTTGAAGGAGCTTTTGGGTGAGACTATGGGGTTTTCTCAATATAGAATCATGTCTGCAAACAGGATTGAATATTCTTTATTTCTTTCTCTTGCCTGATTGCTCTGGCTAGGACTTCCAATCCTATGTTGAATAGGAGTGGCAAGAGAGGGCATCCTTGTCTTGTGCTGGTTTTCAAAGGGAATGCTTCCAGCTTTTCCCTATTCAGTATGATGTTTTGCCAAAGGTTTTATTGACCATCCACATTTGATACACACTCTTGAGTATCGCTGGATTTGCTGGATCATAAGGACAAAGTAGAATAGCATCTTACTCTATAGCCTAGACATATTACAGAGCCTTTTCTTGCTCTGATCCCCATTTGAAATTAGCAGCCTTATGTGTGACTCCTTAGAAGGTCCAAGCTAAAAATGTGTTTGCCTCCAAAATCCAACATTGTCTACCAAGTGTTTAATCATGGTAGATGGTGCATCAACTTCTGTCACTTTAGAAAGGTTATCTTAACAAGGGCCAGACCACTGAATCCTCAGAAATTTCTCTGAGGTGGCTGAGACGGCAGGCCCCTCAGGCTTATCTCACATTCTCTGGTTTGCTTATATATTACTAAGACTTCCAAATTGATTGCTACTTTCTGTTCATCAGATCTACCAAGCATAAGGTCAATGTAATGGACAGGAGTCATGTTTTATGTAATGTCAAGACAATCAGGATTTCTGCTCACTGTAATATGGCAGAGAGCTTGAGAGCTGATACAGAAGCATCAAGACAGGACAGTGAATGTGTACTGTTGACCTTGCTAGGTAAAAATAAACTGCTTCTGTTAGTCCTTGCAACTTGGTATGGAGAGAAAAGCATTAGTCAGATCAACAGCTGCGTAACAAATGCTAGAGGTTCTGCTGATTTGCTTTAGTAAAGATACTAATTTATAATAGAAGTTGCAATTGGAGTCACACCTGAACTAAGTTTTCTGAAATCCACAACCATTTCCCAATATCCATTCTGCTTTTGCCCAAGCCGAATAGGGGAATTAAATGGGTATATGATAGATATTCCCATGTTTCAAATCTTTGATGTGATGACACTATTCTCTGTAATTCCCCTAGGAATGCAGCATTGCTTCTGGTTTGCTATGTTGGTAAGAAGGGGAAAGTTCCAGGCGGACTTCCTCTTAACTCTTTCTGCCATAATGACCCTGATCCCATGGATTTAGAGAGCCAATGCAGGAATTCTGCCTCTGGTCAAGGATGTCTGTTCCAATTATTCTTTCAGGAACTGGGGAAATAACTACAGGATATGCCCATAGACCAACTGGTTCCATATTTGGTAGGCCACAGTGGCATTTTTGGGCCCCCAAGAGTTATATCAATCCAGACATAGTGTCTAGTCACCTCCCAAAGGCCTAGATCTCTAGTTAATGGCATTAGGTCTCGTTTAAGAAGACTCAGAGGGACATTTAATCATATATTATAGCAATTCTGCAGGCTTGTGTTTTGTTTTGCTTTGTTTTGTTTTGTTTTGTGGCAGGGTCTCACTGTTGCCAAAGCTAGAGAGCAGTGGGGTGATCATGGCTCACGGCAGCCTTGACCTCCCCAGGCTCAGGTGATCCTCCCACCTCAGCTTCTCAAGTACCTGGGACTACAAGCACATTTTTCTGCTTTATGTAGAGATGGGTTTTCACCACATTGTCCAGGCTTACAGGGTTGTTTTTTAAAGGGACTCAGCCTCCCCTTTAATCTAGGGGCTTTGGGTCTGAAAACTGGCTTACTTCTGGAAACTGAGTGAATGTCCATGATTCTTTTTTTTTTTTTTTTTTTTTGAGACGGAGTCTGGGTCTGTCACCCAGGCTGGAGTGCTGTGGCCGATCTCAGCTCACTGCAAGCTCCGCCTCCCGGGTTCACGCCATTCTCCTGCCTCAGCCTCCCGAGTAGCTGGGACTACAGGCACCCGCCACCTCGCCCGGCTAGTTTTTTTGTATTTTTTAGTAGAGACGGGGTTTCACCGTGTTAGCCAGGATGGTCTCGATCTCCTGACCTCGTGATCCGCCCGTCTCGGCCTCCCAAAGTGCTGGGATTACAGGCTTGAGCCACCGCGCCCGGCCATGTCCATGATTCTTTACTCTGTTGACTCAAGTTAGAATTTTGTCTCCCAGTCCTACCATCCAGTATGACAAAGCAGGGCAAAAAATGATGACTCTAGAGCTATGAAGCAATACATTAATATTTGGCACTTTCTTCTTCTTCTTCAATATTTTGATTAAGCATCCATCCATTCATCTGTTCATTTTTTTACCCAGCATTTATTGAGTAATGGGCCAAGAATGATGTAGGCACTGGGGATATAAAGTGGAATAGAAAGTAATCTTTGGGCCAGGCTTGGTGACTCACACCTGTAATCCCAGGACTTTGGGAGGCCGAAGCAGATGACGACTTGAGGTCAGGAGTCTCAAGACCAGCCTGGCCAACACAGCAAAACCCTGTCTCTACTAAAAATATAGATATTAGCCAGGCGTGGTGGCGCATAAGGAGCTACTGGGTGACAGAGCGAGACTCCACCTCAAAAAAACAAAAAAAAAAAAAAAGGAAAGTATGATGGCTCACACCTGTAATCCTAGCACTTTGGGTGGCCAAGGCAGGCAGATCACTTGAACCTAGGAGTTCAAGACCAGCCTGGGCAACATGGTAAAACCCAGTCTCTACAAAAAAACACAAAAATGTTCCGGGCATGGTGGCAAGCTTCTGTAGTCCCAGCTACTTGGGAGACGGAAGCGGAAGGATTGCTTGAACTTGGGAGGTCAAGGCTACGGTGAGCCATGATCGTGCCACTGCACTCCAGCCTGGGCAACAGAGAGAGACTCTGTCTCCAAGAAAAAAAGAAAGTGATTTTTGTTCTTACACCATATGGTGTAATAAGCACCTTTTTTCTTCAGGAATGATTGGATGTTCATAGAAATGCCCACTTAAAGTCCTAGAGGCTGGGCGCGGTGGCTCACACCTGTAATCCCAGCACTTTGGGAGACCAAGTCCTGCAGATTACCTGAGGTCAGGAGTCCGAGACCAGGCTGGCCAACATAGTGAAACCTGTCTCTACTAAAAATACAAAAATTAGCCGGGCGTGGTGGTACACGCCTGTAATCCCAGCTACTTGGGAGGCTGAGGAACGAGAATTGCTTGAACCCAGGAGGCAGATGCTGCAGTGAGCCAAGATTGCAAACTCTACTCCAGCCTGGATGACAGAGCAAGGCTGTGTCTCAAAAAAAAAGAAAAAAAAAAGTTCCTGGAACTCTAGGCTGAGTAGGCAGAAAGGCGGGGGCATGTTTATTTATTAGGGATTGTAGTTGGTGAGTAGTAATAGAGATTTAACTATGATGGCTTGTACAAATTTATTCTCACACGTAAGAGAATTCCAGAGGCAGGCAGTCTAAGACTGGTATGCTCTAGAAAGTCACCTAGGATTCTATTTTTGTGCTTCACCATTCTTTATGCAGCTTCTATCTTCAAGGTTAAAATGTGGCTACTGGCACTCTAGCCATCATATCATAGTTCTGGGCAGGGAGATGAAAGTAAGAGAATTTCAGTGAAAGGGCTTCTCTGGAAGCCCTACTGCTTACAGCTTATTGGCCACCCTATCTAAAAGAGAGGTTAGGATGTAAAATTTTTCCTCTAGACATGTGGCCCCTAAATTTTTCCTAACGAAGAAGGGAAAAAATGAATATTAGATACGCAATTAATCATCTGTAGATCAGAAGAAACAAAACATGGCCTGGCACAGTGTGTGTGAGTGTGTGTGTGTATACATATGTGTGTGTGTATATACATATGTGTGTGTGTATATATGTGTATATATATACTGTGTGTATGTATATACATGTGTGTATATACACACACACACAGAGAGAGAGAGAGAGTACAATGAGATTTATTATAAGGAAATGACTCATACAGTTATGGAGGCTGCAAAGTCCTGTGATCTGTTATCCGCAGGCTGGAGACCCAGGAAAGCCAGTAATACAGATTTCAGCTTCAGTCCAAAGGCCTGAGAACCAGAAGCACTGATGGTGTAAGTCCCAGTCTAAGGGCCAGAGAAGACCAACATCTCAGCTCAAGCCATTAGGCAGCCCCAGCAAACTAATATAGCCCCATTTAATCCTCCCACTGACCCTGCAAAGTCAATTCATTAGCTCAATTTTATAGGTAAGAAAACTGAGACCTTGCCTGCGCCCACCTGGAGCCAGCGGTTCTCCAAGCACCCAGCATCCAGCGAGACATGTCGCGCACCGACAGAGGGGACATGGGCAGAGCAATGGTGACCAGGCTCGGGCTGGGGCTGCTGCTGCTGGGACTGCTCCTACCCACACAGATTTATTCCAATCAAACAACTGTTGTAACAGTTTCAAGTAATTCCTCCAAGAGTACTTCAACGGCCCCAAATCCAGCTAGTGCCACCACCAAGGCGGTTGGTGGTGCCCTGCAGTCAACAGCCAGTCTCTTCGTGGTCTCACTATCTCTTCTACATCTCTACTGTCAAAAGACTCAGGCCAAGAAACATCTAAACTTCCCCATCTTCTACACCCAATCCACATGGCGTCTGGAAGTCCAATGTGGCAAGGAAAAACAGGTCTTTGTCGAATCTACTAATTCCACACCTTTTATTGACACAGAAAATGTTGAGAATCCCAAATTTGATTGGTTTACAGAACATGTGAGAGGTTTGACTAGATGATGGATGCCAATATTAAATCTGCTGGAGTTTCATATGCAAGATGAAGGAGAGGCAACATCCAAAATAGCTAAGACATGATTTCCTTGAATGTGGCTTAAGAAATATGGACACTTAATACTATCTTGAAAATAAGAATAGAAATAAAGGATGTGATTGTGGAATGGAAGAAAAAAAAAAAAAAGAAAACTGAAACACAGAGAAGTGACATGACTTTCCTCCTCCTCCAGCTCATAAACGACAGGCTAGGGATGACAGCCCAGGTTTGCTTGACATAGAGACCTCTGGGCTACTCAGAGATTTGACAGAAATGTGGTATACTCCCACTCACCTCCCCTTTCTCCTTGACCTTTGTGAGTTCTCTTGACCTCTTTCTCCGAGTACCCCAGCCCAACCCCAGGCGTTGTCAATGACTCCCTGGCACAATTAGCTCTTTGCTTTCACTCAGTTAACTCAGAAATCTTCCGTGCCCTTGTAGAGATGCCCTTCCCTGAAATCCTCACATTTTAGAACCTATATCACCCCAACATCTCCCGCTAGTGTTAATTGGGAGGGATCTCTCCACCACTGTCCCCCTCTAGAGAGCTAGCCAGGGGCCAGGACAACTAGGCAAGCAGGCACTGCACCAGCTGCCCTCACAGCAGTTCACACGTGACATTCTGTTTAATCCTCACAACAAACCTGTGAGTTAGGCATTATTATATCTTCATTTTACAGATGAGAAAACGGAGGCACCACGCAGTAAAGAAACTTCCCTGTGCCAGGCACAGTGGCTCACACCTGTATTCCCAACACCTTGGGAGGCCAAGGCAGGAGCATCTCTTGAGCCCAGGAGTTCAAGGCTGCAGTGAGTCACGATCGCGTCATTGCACTCCAGCCTAAGCGACAGAGGAAGGCCCCTGTCTCATTAAATAAATAAATAAAAGAAACTTTCCTAATGCCACATAGTTAGTGATACTTGACCCAGACTACGGTCAGAGAAAGCTTCCTTGAGAAGCTTTGAGCTGAAGGAGTAGAAAATAGAAGAATATTGCTCTGGTCTGAATGTTTGTGTCCCTTAAGTTTCATATGTTAAAATTTTAACTCCCGAGGTGAAAGGTATTGGGTGGGGGACCTTTGGGAGAGAAACAGATCACGAGGGTTCCTCATGAATGGGATTAGTGCTCATATTAAAGAAGCTCAAGGGAGCTTGTTTGCCCTCCCAGTATGTGAGGACACAGCAAGAAGGCGCCATCTGTGAACAGGAAGAGGGCCCTCACCAGACACCAAATTTGCCAGCACCCTGATCTTGGAGTTCCCAGCCTCTAGAACTGTGAGAAATAAAGTTCTTTTGTTCTATAAGCTACCCGGTCTATGGAATTTTGTTATAGCAGCCCAAATGGACTAAGATGAGTATCATGTGCAAAGGTCCTGCACCAGGAGGGAGCCTGTGTGTTTGAGAGAAGATCATGTGGCTGAAGCAGGGTAAGAAGAGAGCTGAGCAAGATGGGGCAGAGGCCAGGCTAGACAAGGCCTTGAAGGCCTCCCTGAAGTTTTAGATCTCTGTTATAAGAGCAACAGGAAGCCATCAGCTGGTTTTAAACAGAGAAATAATGAGGTGAAGCCATCAGTAGGTTTTAAGTAGTTGGAAAAGATTCTTCTGGGACAGTGTAGATAAATGATTGCATGGAGAGTGAAATGCAGGGAGACCACTAGGGTCCATGGTGGTAATCCAAGCAAGAGATGCTGGTAATGCGGATTAGGACAACAGCAGTAGAGCTAGAAGTGAAAATGTAAAGAAGTGGATGCTTTCAAGAGCCATGTAAGAGAGAAAATTGGCAGCACTTGGTGACTGGATATGGCTACGGGGTGAGGGAGAGATTGAGGTCCAGGTTTCTGGCTGGTGCAACTAGCTGGGTGGTACATATTTCACTCAGACAGGGGATGCTGGGCAAAGAAAAGATTTGGGGGAAAGCGTGTTCAGCTTGAGACATGTTGGATTTGAGTAAGACACCAAAGGGGAATTATCCAAAAGACAGTTGGACATGGGAGCTCGAAAGTCAAAACAGAGGTGTGGGCTGGAGGTACGTATTTGGGAGCTGTAACCAGGACCAGCCCATCCACTAAGCACAGTAGAGACATGAGTGCCCCAGTACTTTTAGGGCTGACAAAAATGCTTTAATTCCTGATATGGTTTGGATGTTTGTCCCCACCCAAATCTCATGTCAAATTGCAATCCCCAGTGTTAGAGGTGGGACCTGGTAGCAGGTGATTGGATCATGGGGGTGAACTTCTCATGAATGGTTTGGCACCATCCTCTTGGTGCTGTCCTCACAATAGTGAGTGAGTTCTTGCAAGATCTGGTCATTTAAAGGGGTGTGGCACCTCCCCTGCCCTGCCCCGCCCTCTTGCTTCTGCTTTCACCATGTGATAGGCCTGCTCTCCCTTCACCTTCCACCATGATTGGAAGCTTCCCGAGGCCTCCCCAGAAGCAGATACCACTACATTTCCTGTACAGCCTGCAGAAACATGAGCCAATTAAACCTCTTCTCTATTTCTTTTTCATTTTTTTAAAATAATTGAGATGGGATCTTGCCATGTTGCCCAGGCTGGTCTCAAACTCCTGGGCTCAAGTGATCCTCTTGCCTCAGCCTCCCAAAGTACTAGGATTACAGGCATGAGCCACTGTGCCCAGCCAAAACTTCTTTCTTATAAATTACCCAGTCTCAGGTATTTCTTTCTTCTTTCTTTCTTTCTTTTTTTTTTTTTTGAGACAGGATTTTGCTCTGTCGCCCAGGCTGGAGTGCAGTGGAACAATCTCAGCTCACTGCAACCTCTGCCTCCTGGGTTCAAGCAATCTTCCCATCTCAGCCTCCCCAGTAGCTGAGACTACAGGCACACACCACCACAACAGGCTAATTTTTTATTTTTCTGTAATTTTAGGTAGAGATGAGGTTTCCCTATGTTGCCCAGGCTGGAGGAATTTCTTTCTAGCAGTACAAGAACACTCTAATACAATTCCCTTTAAATCAGAAGAAAAAACAAACTTTTAAGTCAAAGGATTTTTGGCTTGTTTTTGAGACAGAGTCTCGCTCTGTCACCCACGCTGGAGTGCAGTGGCATGATCCTGGCTCACTGCAATCTCCACCTCCTGTATTCAAGCGATTCTCCTGCCTCAGCCTCCTGAGTAGCTGGAATTACAGGTGCACACCATCACACCCAGCTAATTTTTGTATTTTTAGTAGAGACGGGGTTTCACCATGTTGGCCAGGCTGGTCTCGAACTCCTGACCTCAAGTGATCTACCCGCCTCGGCCTCCCAAAGTGCTGGGATTATAGGCGTGAGCCACTGCACACAGCCTGTTTAAGAGACAGAGTTGCTCTGTCGGCCAGGCTGGGGTGCAGTGGCCTGATAGTAGCTCACTGCAGCCTCAAACTCCTGGGCTTGAGTGACCCTCCTGCCTCAGCCTCCCAAGTAGCTGGGACTACAGGCTTGACTGCGCCTGGCAAAGATGTTTTAATAAATAATATAATTTTTTTTTTTTTTTTTTTTTTTTTGAGACGGAGTCTCGCTCTGTCCCCCTGGCTGGAGTGCAGTGGCGCGATCTCTGCTTCAGCTGCAAGCTCCGCCTCCCGGGTTCACGCCATTCTCCTGCCTCAGCCTCCCAAGTAGCTGGACTACAGCCGCCACCCACGTCCAGCTAATTTTTGTATTTTTAGTAGAGACGGGGTTTCACCGTGGTCTTCGATCCTCCTGACCTTGTGATCCGCCTGCCTCGGCCTCCCAAAGTGCTGGGATTATAGGCGTGAGGCCACCCGCGCCGGCCAATATAATTTATTTTGTGGCTAATGCAGTCATAAAATATAATGTTAAAAAAATGTTTACAGGCCGGCGCGCAGTGGCTCACGCCTGTAATCCCAGCACTTTGAGAGGCCAAGGCGGGAGAATCACGAGGTCAGGAGTTCAAGACCAGTCTGGCACACATAGTGAAACTCCATCTCTACTAAAAATACAAAATACCGGCATGGTAGCATGTGCCCATAGTCCCAGCTAATCGGGAGGCTGAGGCAGGAGAATCGCTTGAACCCGGGAGGTGGAGGTTGTGGTAAGCAGAGATCACGCCACTGCACTCAGCCTGGACGACAGAGTGAGACTCTGTCCTAAAAACAAAAAAAAAAGTTTACATAGGAAGGGGCCCACAAAGTCTTAATGTTGCTCTGTTTTGTAACAATAAACATGCTTTCTGGCTATAACAGAAACCCACTGGCAATGGCTCCAACAGTGACAAATGTTTTAATTTCCCGTTGTGTAAGGAAGTTCAGCATTAGTGTGGCCTTCAGGGTTGGCAGATCGAGTGCCCTAAAGGTCCAAAGACTCCTTCGAGCTCTCCGCTCTGCCATCTTTACAGATGGCTCCATCCTCAGGTGTTAGCAAAACAGCTGCAGCAGTTCCAGGACACCCTCAGACTTGACAACATTCCCAGGAAAAAGAGATACTGCTGTTTAACACTCGCTCTCACCTAGCAGTGAGGAAACCTTCCCAGAAGGCCTTCACCAAATGTCCTTGTTTATGGAATAAATGTTTTGTCGCAGGGGCCGGGGCGCAGGTGGCTCAAGCCTGTAATCCCAGCACTCTGGGAGGCGAGACGGGCGGGATCATGAGGTCAGGAGATCGAGACCATCCTGGCTAACAGGTGAAACCCATCTCTACTAAAAATACAAAAAATAGCCGGGCGTGGTGGCAGGCGCCTGTAGTCCCAGCTACTCGGGAGGCCTGAGGCAGGAGAATGGCGTGAACCCGGGAGCTGGAGCTTGCAGTGAGCTGAGATCGCGTCACTGCACTCCAGCCTGGGCCACAGAGCCAGACTCGGTCTCAAAAAAAAAAAAAAAAAAGTTTGTGTCCTCCAACATTCTTACGTTGAAATCCTAACCCCCATGGTATATATTAGGAGATGGGGCCTTTGGGGGGCAATTAGGTCAGGTGATTAGGTGTTGGATGCCCTTACAAAAGAGACCCCCAAAGAGCTCTCTTATCATCTTATTTTATTTTTATTTTTTTAGAGACAGGGTCTTGCTCTGTCACCCAGGCTGCAGTGCAGTGGCATGATCATAGCTTACTGCTGCCTTGAGCTCCTGGCCTCAAGCGATGGTCTTGCCTCAGCCCCCAAGTAGCTGGACCTACAGGTTCTCA